TTTTTTTTTTCGTTTTGATAGTAAAGATTGAAAATTTAGGAAGAAAACATAGTAGTAGACGAAGACATGAAAAATATAGAGAGGAAAGATTTGAAGAAAGGCATCTGTAGAAACGAAGATGGTTAGAAGGTAGAAAAGACGAACTCAGTTATTAATAGTGGCTTGATGAGCATAAAATTGGAGGAAAACAATTTATTTCAATAATAATAAATTTCAAAAAAAAAAAAAAAAAACATAGCAAAACAATTAGCAGAAATTTTTCATAATAAAATGACAGTTTTCTCCTTTTTTTTTTTCGACATCAGTTTTTCAGTTACTTTACGTACAAAAAAATGCTTTGGTCTATCCTTTTTCTTTTTTGCATCAATTAGTAATCGATAACCTTTTTCAGTTCTTTTTTTTTTCCTTCTTTTTTACTGTTTTGCTGTGACAGAAAAAAACCCTTCTATTTGTAGTTTTCTGTTTTTGAAAAACATAAATTAATTAGTGGAGGTAAACATTTGTAATAAAAATAAAAACAATCATCACAGAAATGGCTCTGTTTCGTTTTTCTTCGAAAGACTTTTAATTATCGTAAACAGCAAATAAAAAAAACAAAAAAGAAAAAAAAAAAACAAAAAAAAAAGAAAGAAGAAAACATTTTTTTTCCACATTTTTTTGATATTTTCTTCTAACCGCTCTTTTTTTCTCCTCTTCTTTTGCAGTGAAAAAGAATAATGAAAATCTCATTTGTTCATCACCTCATTTCCTTTATTTCTTTCCTGTTCTTTTTTTTTTTTTCGCATATTTGAAAATAAAAATAACTTAACTTTAATAAAGGCATAAAAAACTGCAGTAAAAATAATAGTGTTTCTGATAGCAGTAATCATATGATCAGTTTTAGTATTAGAAAAAGTAAAAAGGAAGAAGTTTTTTCTTTTTGTAATCGAATAAAACAAATGGACGGCATTAACGATGGGGAAGCAAAACACTGTAATTGTTTCAGAGCGATAGAAGAAAGAAAAGCCAAGTTAACTGTGGTAAAATACAGGAAACCAAAAAACTATTAGATAATAATTTAGCAAATACACGTGAAAAATTTGAACCGAAAAAGCTGAACAATTTCTCTTTTCTTTAACTTTACTTCTACAACTCTTCTTTCCATTTCATTCCTCCTTAGTTGTTTTTTTTTTTTTTACTTGACTTCTCAAAACACAACTACATCTAAGTCTGTTATTCTGGCGGTGATGTTGATGAAGTTTTGATGATTGAGAACAAATCATTGTTGTTTTGAGAAGTGATTGTTTAACAACAGATCAAACATAGGAGAAGAAAAGCAAACTTCCCGCCCACCCCTCCTCCTCCTCCGAAGACAGTCGTTTAATTGCATTATTTGATTTGAGAAACAAAAGACGTTGTATTGGTACATCTGAAAGCTAACTGGAGAAATAACTGTTGAAATGACCAAAGAGATGAACAGAAAAAATAAAGTTAAATAAATAAAAATAAAAAAAAAGGAACGGGGAAACACAGAGATAAACTAAAAAATTAGGATATTTGTTATATTAACGAGTAATACTTTGATAATATTCGTTTTTCTTTTATAATATATAATGGCAAGAAGTAGAAGTAAAAATTGAAACAAAAAAGTAGTATTTTAAAATTAAACAAAATATAAATAAATAAAAAAAGCACACACTACTAATGACCTCGTAATCGTTTTCTTAAAAGCATTAATTTCTTCAGCAACCAAAAACGGCTCTGCTTGAAGATAATGAAGATTAAGAAGCAGTAGACCAAAAAGACCAT